CTCATCCTACAACTATAACACTGTCCTCATTTCACAAACACTGGCATCTATATTAACAGGAACTCACAGTTCTTTCATGGATATGCTAGCATGAGAGCTTCAATTAATGATTCAATTAAGGATACAAATCCATTCGCTGATTCTTTGACCCACCTAAAATGTGCATTGACTTTAGTGAGAGCTGACACTGGAGTGGTGATCTTGGAAAAATTGGTCCAGAAACATTGATAATATGATGTGAAACCAAGGAAACTTTGAACTTCTCTTTTTCATCACAGATTAGCATGTCTTGAAAAAATTATAATCTTCACAGAACCAGTGAAGATGCTGTTTCTCACCACTACATGACAAAAAAACCCTATTTGTACACATTTCCAAGGCTTTAGCTATAATCCTTCCATTTTTATCTGCTGCAAAACTATTACATCATTACAACAAACTCAAATGTAAGGCCAAATATCACATCAAAAACATCATACACATAGACAAGGCATCAGTCCCACTGCAGTCTCTCAAAAGTGGCTAGAGCATTACACAGGCCAAAAAAAATGACTTGAAACTTGTACACACCATATTGAGTACTGAAAGCAGTTATAGGTCTCCTTTTGTCATCCAGTTTGCCTTACCAGTATCTGGAAACTAGGTATAAGGAGCTGAAACACTGGCCACATTCCAACTCATTCAGACATTCTTTCATCTATGGTAATGGAAAGGCACTAATGTGTGTCACAGTGTTTACCTAGTAGGAATCAACACAGAACCTGCTTATACCATTCTTCTTTCTGACAATCACTACTGGTGATGACCATGCACTCTAAATGGCTGTATGATTCCATTCTTTAACATCTACTGTGTCTCAGTGCTGACTATATCCCTAGCATTCCAGAAAAACCTGTATGACAGTATGCTAATCAGACAAACCTCATTTGTATATGTATGGTGGTACATGATTGTTGTTCTACTCAGTAACCATATGATCGTATAAATGACAAGCAGTTGATTGAACATAAGCTGCTATTTTGAATCTAGACCACTGGTGTAATACTCAAATAACAATCTCAGATGTGCTAGCTGTCAAGTACTTGCTTTCAAATGCTGTCTGATGGAAATATACTAGCTAGTATCTGCTACTCCACTTCACTCACTGCTCCAATGACCATTCCAACAAGAAGATGGGTTTTTGATTGCCTATAATTAAAGAACACTTCATTGCACTAATACTACTTGTTTTTTTTGCACAGAAAAGTTTATTAAGCATTGGCATGACATTAGTGGTAGATGATGCCAACACACTAAATTTTGTTCATAGTAAACTAAGGCACACCACTTGTATATACAAAGGTAATGTGATTCCCTCCACAAGGTACACACATGCAGTTCACTGTTCAATGATTCATTTACCTGTTGTGCAAGCAAAACTGACAGTGTTCCTGCAGAACATTCATTCTGAGAATACTAATGACAGAACCAAGATCTGCAAAGACTACCTCTGTCCTGTGGTTCATGCATTGGAGATGGGCTTTTCTATTCACATTAATGTACTACAACTTGTCACAATGAAGTAATTTTTAACTGGCCAAATTAGTAGCTTCATATGGAATACACACAAAGGTTCTGACCACTTCTTATCAATAGAAACTCCACCTCTTGACTGTATCTCTACAGGCACATTCCAAACACCACCCAGTCCTGAAAGATTTGGTCTGACCACCAAATTCTCTTTGGTACAAACTGTTTGCTGCACTCTCATGTCAGATGCCATTTGGGCTCCATCAGTTTTCTAAAGCTTAAGTGACACTAGTTACATCTTACTGTCACCCTTTCTGCTCCTGCTGTGCTGTCAGTTTTGACTGAGTGTTTTGTCTATTTTGCTGACAGGCAAGATATGGGTAGTGTGCATGAAAGTGATGCTGCAGCCCACAACTAAAGCAGATGCTCTGATATCTCTTTCTGGAGAATCATTCAAGCAGAGGTATCAACAGCATCAGCTGAGGTACAAACATAATAAGAGGGCTAGGTTTGCTCTGCCCACTCACTGAAAAACAGCCAGGATATTTCAGTTACAGATTCGCCTTCAGCAAAGCTTGAGCAGGATGCCTTGTTGTGGGCTGTTAGTTTTCTCCTCTCGTGAAAGTTGTTCAAAGAGTTACCACCTTGAACCTCATCTACACATTACCTCTATAAGGATGTGAATACCTCACACCCTCAAATAGTGCCTCATAGCCTCTTCAACATTGAGTGAATTCAAAGCAATAACTTATGAAAAAGAAACAACCCATTCTGGTAGAATAGTGATATTGATAAACTTAACTGCATAAACTTAGCCTAGGTTCTACTGCATGCCCTATAGGCTTTTATCAAAATTATCAACATTGATAATTTTGATAAGAGCCTGGAGAGCATGCAGTAGAACTTAGGCTATGTTTATGCAGTTAAGTCATAACCTAGCCTGGGCAGAGGAAGCTAAGATTGCACAGAATAGAGCACGTGGTATCTAACAGCAATCAGCTTCCTTCCAAAGCATGAGCCATAAAATTAAATGAACTATATAACAAGGCAAATCTCACAGATACTTCCTTCTGGCTTTTCCACAAGCTTATGACTTACACAGGAACAAAAGCATAGTGATGTCAGTCATTTCCAATGATAATAGTACCGTACTCCATACAGATTAATACTAACTGTAGATACATTATAGCAATCTCTATCAGAGTTACACCTATATGTGGGTGCAAAAGCCATCTATAGCTTGGATGAGATAAACAAAGCCATAAATGCAGCTAAAGATGGATCTCCAAATCAGGATGTTGCAAGACTCTCCACCTTTAAGAAGCTTACAAAAATCACCTTGTTAAAGCTAATGTAAGATTATCAACACAGCTAGTCTACGGATAGCATCCCACGAGTATGAACTGATGTCTACCAAATCCTTCCAAAATCCATTAAACCTTCCATTCCTTGTTGGGCGTAATCCACCCAGCTCATAACCACAAACATAATCCAACATGCAAAGTAATTTGGATTTTTTAAGATTAAAAATATTTTTATGCATCAGAACATTTTCAAATTTCACATGCAAAATCTTTATAAACTCCAGATAATTATCAAATAATTTTTAGAAAAAAAGTATATTTTATCTGTTATTTTCACTACTGTATCGATGTACAAGTTGGTTCGATTTGATCATCTTCGTCACCTCCATAAAAAATTAGGAAATGAATATAAATTATGTTTTTTTCTTTCTAGAATGACTACAAATTATAACACGAAAACACAAATGTTTAGTCTAAATAGCTTAAATTTCATAACATTATACATTTATATATATATATTTATTATTCTTATTATTTTGACCTTTAAGCAGTGCCGTCCCTAGCTAACATTATAGAAGTTGCAATGACGTGGTGCACGTGCACTCATTTTACTGTATCCAAGAATATAAAACTGGCCTTTACAAAGTGACCTGTCTTGGCTGTGTTTTAGTGAACAAGTATTTTGCAAAATACAGTCACATTTCAGTTTTAATACATTGTATGTATATACATTATTCCTATTTACACATAAGTTCTTAAACTTATTTTCCTTAAAACACAGAACAGTAAATAAAGAAGTAAAGCAAATTTTAGTTCCGACCTTTGTACTCATTTGCTGCTTGTCGAAGGATGCTAAGCCTTATCAAATTTTGCACATGGAGGATGTAAAACAAAATCATTTTTTTTAGGTTATATATATATATACATTTTATATAATCTAAAATCAAAAATTACTATATCGATACCATAAAATTCCACTATAATTTATCAAGCTTAGTAATTAAGCTGTATTTGGGTCTAAAAAATATGAAATTTTGATCAGACTAAAGACTCAACTTACCAGCTTGAGGTTGTGTATCCAAAGAATGATATGACATCATAATATCTGAAAATGGCTGAGAAAGCCACTAGAGGGACATTCTGAG